ATTATACAATTGAATACGTTATACGTACATGGACCCGACTCTGTTACAAAATAAGGTACAAGAACCGGACGATCAGATATCAAGACCGTGTTTGGAAACTCACTCTGGGTAATCTCAGTTATGCCACTCACAGGTGAATTTGGGAGATGAGGATGATAGTTTAATTTTAGTTTGATGAACTAAAAGCAGTTGAAGAGAAGATTAGTTTAGGAGTTGAAGTAACTGCACGAACTTGAAGTAGTGGGGTTCTGAAAACTTGCATGAACTACCAACATTACTAAATGTAGCAACAAAGGATAAAAGATGGCTTTCGACGAGTTGATATATAGGAAATCAAACCGAAGTACGAAACTGTTTTCTGTTTTCTGGGAAAAACAAAAAAAACTGCTGGAAATATGCTATCTTTAGAGTCCTAATGCCCACTTCAAAATCTATATAAAAGCCACATTCTCACCAAGATTAATAAATCATAACAGGAGTTTTCCTATTATTTCCTAAATGCTTATTTAAAATGTCTCAAACAAAATTGCATTGAAAGATCCTTTATCCACGACCAATACAGTTCCTGTCAACTTTCTTTTTATAAACTGAGAAGCTCTATTTGAAGTTTTAATTACGTACGAAAATGGCTGGAGGAGGATTTGCTTCTCAAGGCGGCGGCAGGATTTATGAAGGGCTATCACCCCCTTGTCGTTATTACTTGTTTGGTTGCTGCCATGGGTGGTCTCCTCTCGTTATGATCTTGGAATCTCAGGTTGGCGCCGATTGTTGAAAGCACGGGTCTTTATTTTCTTTGTTTTCTTTCTTTTTTTTTTTTTTTTTTTTTTTTTTTTTTTTTAAGGTTTTGAAAAACAATGATGTGGTGTTTAAAACTATGTAGGAGGAGTAACCTCTATGGAAATGTTCTTGAAGAAGTTCTTCCCATCGGTGTACCACAAACACATATGAGACTATCCATGAAAGTCAGTACTGCAAGTTTGACAGCGAGATGCTTACAATGTTCACATCTTCCTCTACTCTTGCTGCTTTGGTAGCTTCCTTCTTTGCTTCAATAGTGACCAGAGTATTGGTCGTAAAGTTTCCATGGTGTCTGGAGGCTTCGCCTTTCTTGTTGGAGCTATTCTTAATGGAGCTGCTTCAAACTCGCGATGCTAATCATTGGTCGTTTCTGCTTGGTGTGGGCGTTGGATTTGCTAATCAGGTATTTTATAAGTAATAGATAAATCTCATTCTCTTTACTGATATTATTTAATAATTTCATCATTCGTCCACGCAGTCTGTTCCAGTCTATCTATCTAAATGGCACCAGCAAAAGTTAGAGGAGCACTCAACATTGGTTTCCAGATGGCCATTACCATTGGTATTCTTGTAGCAAATCTTGTGAACTATGGCACAGTAAAAATTGTGGTGGATGGGATGGAGAGTTTCATTAGCTCTCGCAGCTGTCCCAGCCGTGATGATGACTGTTGGGTCTGTATTCCTTCCTGATACTCCAACCTCCATCCTTGAGAGAGGCCAGCCAGATAGGGCAAGAGATATGTTGAAGAAATTCGCGGCACCAGTAATGTTGAAGAAGAGTTCCAGGATCTTTATGATGCTGTGAAGCCGCAAAGAAGGTAGATCATCCATGGAGAAACATCTTGCAGCCAAGATATAGGCCTCAACTGTTTGTTGCATCTCATTCCATTCTTCCAACAGCTTACCGGTATCAATGTAATCATGTTTCTATGCTCCAGTTCCTTTAAAACCATAGGTTTTGGTGATGATGCGTCACTTATGTCTGCGGTTATTACCGGTATTGTCAATGTGGTTGCCACAATTGTTTCCATCTACTCAGTTGACAGGTTCGGAAGAAGAATTCTGTTCTTAGAAGGCGCATTCAAATGATTATCTGCCAGGTACTTAATATGTGCATCTCTGTAAGACCTGCAACTCTTTACAGCTTAATCTTACTCATAAATTTTGTTTTGCAGATTGCAGTTGGAGGGCTGATTGGAAGAAATTCGGTGTGGATGGTACAGGGGTGCTGTCCAAATTCGATGCCGATTTCATCTTGTTCTTATTGTGTATATGTACAGCCTTTGCATGGTCCTGGGGACCGTTGGGTTGGCTGATTCCCAGTGAGATATGCCCTCTCGAGATTCGATCAGCAGGCCAAGCCATAAACGTATCAGTTAACATGCTTTTCACCTTCATCATCGCTCAAGTGTTTGGCCATGCTTTGCCACGAAATTCGGTCTCTTCTTCTTCTTTGCGCTTTGTGGTTACATGACTATATTCATCGCCTTCTTCATCCCTGAACGAGGAACGTTCCGATTGAAGAGATGAACAGAGTGTGGAAGCACCACTGGTTCTGGCAAAGTATATCCCTGATGAGCTGTCATTGGAGGTGCCTACGAATGCGAGCTGAGCCCAAGGACACGTGAAACATCAATCTACAACAACCTCAAGGCTGTACAAAGACGATTTCACTAGTGAATAATCACAACGATAACAATACTGTATATATAAACATCCTGTTATTCAAGTTTATGTTTTGCCTCTTCCTTGTAAGTCCTTATTATTAAGTTCTTGTTAATTACTTCAATTCTATATATAATATCTTTTAGTAAATGTTTTGTATTCAGTCTCCCTGTACAAATGATGTTCCTTGAAATAATGCCAGAGTAAAAATGAGATAATAAAATTAATAAATAAAAAATAATGATAAACATTTTCATATTAATAAAAAGAATTACTATACTACTGTTATCTTATATAATTGGCCTCAACTTTTCACTGTTATCCCTGTGCTTTATTTAGCATGAGTCATTGCAATTGATGTCTCAACCCCAGAAACCTGAGAACTCAAAAGAGAAATAGAAGAATGTCCTCTGTATTAATGTGGATAAATCAGCATACAAGTTATAAACCAAATCATGTATCTTTACATCCATAAGAGGTGCTGCTATGATAAATTTCTCATGGTACCTGAGTAAACACTGTGTAGCTCAGACTAATGATTTTATGAATATAATTAAGAGAAGTCTGTCCTTCGGAACTTTACATTGAACTAAACTCAACTCAGATCTGTGATAATTTAGTGTTTTATAGCTCAAATTATACAATTGAATACATACATAGACCGGACTCTATTACAAAAATGTTACAAGAATAATTGAAGTAGAGATTTACCCACATTTGATTTCACAGATGTCAGAATCTCAAAGATGAGGATATATTTGCTTAGCAATGTGAAAGAGGACTATGCAACTGAGATTGACTCCAAGAGAGGATCAAGATACTCTTTGAGCTTTGCCTTGTAATTGCACCTTCTCTCCTGCTTTCCGGAACTTCCTGCCCACTCTTGAAGAGAATCAAAGTTGGCATCCATAAACTTATACTGTTCAATTAGTCGAGGGCTCGCATCAGATCAATCTTTACAACCATCAATCTGTCTCCATATTCCTAAACACAATCAAAAGAACTCCATTTCAAAAGCTGTCTCATGTATAGTATACTATACACCTTAAATGTATTACTGGCCAAATTTTTCATGATAAATTAATTATCAGTTCAATTGTGCCAATTGCCATCATCAAAGTAGAAGACATAGTTCAGTCCGTATACAGAACAATCAAACATGATAAAAACTCATAATTTATATCAGATCTCTTAATTGATAAGTACCAAAATTAACATTAAGGACACCAAATAAAGATAGGCATGACATAGCTACGAATTGCAAACCATTTGTCCAATAAATGACAAATGAAAATAATAATTAGAGTAATTTATTCTTCAATTTTCTAATGGCGCCAACAGTTTTCAGATAGGGAACAGAATCCATGTCTCTCAACAGCACAGCTATACCAATCAGATACGGAGGCACTTTTATTCAATTGAAAGAACATTTTTTTGCAGCAGGTACACTTTTTAACTAAGCACATGAAGGGAGTCTTCAGAGGCATCATTTTTTATTCCTAAAACATATTAACAAATCATTGAGCTTCAGTAGCAAGAGAACACAATCAATTAATCCAACAACTGAGATAATCCACACTTATAAGATATCCTCTGCAATCTCATAACTTCCTTTCATATACTACTAAAACTAGCTAGTAGTATAGGGCCTGGAAATCAATCTTGATATCTTGGGTGCAATTTCTAATTGATATATCATTAATACTATCTTTTTCTTTAAATTCTGAGAATCAGAAATAGAAAAAATTCACGTATCTGGTTGCCTCCAAAATTTTTTATCAATTAGAAATGAATGCCAAAACTATTTGGCACTAGGTGCAAATTTTGAATAACATATGCTCGGGAGTGTCTACAAGTTCCAGTTCAAATATCAACCACAGCAACAACAAAACGACTACTAAAAGGCTGAAAGGTGCTCTTCTATAACCCATATATTACTGTAAAACAACAACCTAATTAATTACAAGCACAACTTGAATCTTAGCTTCCCATCCTTTGCCCAAGCATCATTCTGGGTATCTAAAGCAAATATGCACCTGAAAAATGACTATAATCCCTTTCTGATGGGATGGAAGGGTTTCAAATGAATGATTTGCAAATGCTCAATTAGCCTAGCATCATTTCTGGTCAAAAATTCATTATCTTCATCTTCATACTAGAAAAAAAAAATGGTCTTGAATCCCCTCTACTCTACGACTATAATTGCTGTTTACTGCTGAAACATCCCTTCAATAAAAACTTGAAAGCAATGAAAAAATATGTTAAACATACCGGTGAGAAATTCAATAAATTTTTTTGTTGTTTCACAGACAAAAGAAAAGAATGAATATGTATCCAATCTCAACCATTCTCAGTGAAAGTTCGGATGTACGAACATTTTATGTGTTTTTTTTTTTTCCTCAACGGCCTCACACCTATTTTTTCTATCATTTAAGGATCACATATCTGAAATTACCACTAACCAAAAAAAAAAAATCTTAATCAAACACCTCGCATACGCATACCTACCAGAGATAATATAAAGAAAGAATATCTACCTGAGCGACCCATTGGATGGCGGGAGCAATCAAGCGGCAGGGACCGCACCAGTTGGCCACGAACTCAACTAGAACCGGACGATCAGACTTCAAGACCGTGTTTGGAAACTCACTCTGGGATATCTCCGTTATGCCACCAGAAGCAGCGCAGGTGAATTTGGGAGATGTGGAAGATAGTTTAATTTTAGTTTGAGAGGTAAAAAAGTGGTGAGTAGTATCGTTTGATGAAGTGAAAGCAATTGAAGAGAAGTTCAGTTTAGAAGTTGAAGTAACTGCACGAACTGGAAGTAGTGGGGTTCTGAACAACAGAGTGGAATTGGAGAGGAGGGTATCCATGGAGATACAGAAAGGGGGCGAGTAGGATTGAACAAGTTTTACGTGTGTTTTACTGTTTTGTGATTTGATTTAAAGAGGGACATCTTCGTTAATTCGTAGCCACAGCAAATGAAAGGCCATGTTTTCTGATCACCTGAGATACCATGCGACGTTTTTGACTTTTTGTTAATGGGTTTATGATATTGGGCCGACCTGTCCTAGGTCCGACCATTTGCATTCAAAGGGCAAAATAAATGTTTATAGTTTTGGGTGCGCTTTGAACTTTCTGAAAGCTTCTCATTCCATGGTGTTTCATTTCTTTTTCCACTATCCTATCCTATTATCCTATTCAAATGGTCATTTGTTTTAATATTCTCAATTCTCTTCAAAATCTAATCATATTCTATTCAACTCAAAACATTAACAATTATCTTTCTCAATAAAAGTTTTAAAATTAATAAAAACACCCACATCCATCCAAGCCACTATCACCCGTCAACAACCACCGCCGCTACCACCGTAACAACGCACAACTAGCTGAATTTAACTGACCATACATCGATCTGTCCATTTTCGGCCAGATCCACCATAGATCCGACCAGAAACGATCAGATCTACAGCCAAAGATCTGGCCATTGACGATGGTCATATCTTGGTCGTCATCAATAACCAAACGATAACTAAATCTATGGTCGTAGATCTGGCAGAAAAAGGCCAGATCGGCACACAAATTGCCAAATCCAACCGATCGTGCACCATTCCGACAAATTCTAACCACCTTCCGACGGTGGTGGCCGGCTGTCAACAATATGTGGGTGAGTGGAGGTGTTTTGTCAATTTATAAATTTTTATTATGGGAGGTGTTTAATTAAATTAACAAACCTAGGGGGTTAAAAATAATCTAAATATTTTTAGAAAATGTTATTCAGAAATGTACCAAAAACTTCTCAAAATCCTATCCTATTTTCAAAAAATGCAATTCAGCATAGAATGCTATTCTAAATAACTAACCAAACGGAGCCTTCTCATTGGAGGGAAACTATTAAAACATCATTTCAAGTTTAGGATGAATTAAACAGACAAAGATTGAAACTCTTTACTAAATGACCATATCTATTATTAAGGTTAATTAACAACTAATGATGTTTAAATCAGGCTTAAAAAAGCATTTACTCATTTTGTTAAAACTATTTTTGTCCCTAAAAACGCAAAATTTTTGCAAAGAAACCCAAACCTAAAACCTGTGTGAGGAACGAATTTGGGCTCCTCCCTCTGGCCATTAACGTCCTGCCCTCTGGCTTACTATTCTTCTTAGCAAAAACAAAGCCCACTTCCTCCTCCTCCTCCTGCTCTTCCTCTACATCTTTTTGTTCCTCATTACACAAAGAAAGAGATATTTTGAAGAGGGCTAGAAGACATAATAGCCGGTGAAGTTCCGCCTCCTCCTCCTCCTCTTCCTCCTAACAATCCATATCAGATTTAAAACACATATAATACAAAAAAAAAATAACAAAAACCTATTAATATTTACATGCATTGCCCATGGAAAGCGAAACACATTGTAGGTGCACATTGTTGAAATTTTTTTACAAATTAGCAGCAAAACAGGAGAAAATCCAACAGCAAGATAATGGAAGAACAGCAAGAAAACAACAGCAAAACAGCAATGACACAGCAGCATCAAGGTGTGCAAAAGCACTGTCCTTAAGATCATAATTCCGCCCCTACTAGAAGAATCTTCGTGGTGCAAAAAGGCTCAACAACGGACTAACCTCCAAGATAAATGACAAACCTCCTTTTAGAGTGCACACTCTAACAGAGGTTTAGAATAATATAAGACAAAGTAGTAGTGGTGAAGGAGAGTTGGAAAGAATAAGAGAGTGAAGAAAATTGCAGAAGCAACAAACAAATTCTTTTAAGTGAGAAGATTGTGTGTTGAAAAGAGAACCAACACCCCTTTTTATACTTGACAATTTCCGTTTTTCCCCTCTTAATTTTCCACATGTAACAGTCATTTTATTTAATTCAAAAATTGAAACTGCCACCAACTATTTAAAGCACCAAAAAACTGTCATTGAGTTAATTGCATAACAGTCATTTTTTAAATTAAAAAATTGAAAATGTTATTGCTTTAATTGCATAACAGTCCAAAAAAAAAAACAATTAACACTTGGTATTTTGAAATACCATAACGACAGCTATTATCACAATCCCCCACATATATCAAAATAACCAATCACCACTGATTATAGAATTTAATGTTTATGAGTTGGTGTCTTTCGGACTATGAACCAATCATTGAGTAACTAAATGTGAGTTACAGAAATTTGGTGAAACTAGGTTCCTATGAACCAAAAATTTCTTAATGTAATTTAGAGGATTAGTTCCTCACACTAAATACTGTATATTGTATATTGTTCTACGGTTTAGCACTTTATGGCCTTGTGCTAGCCTAGATTTCATGAGTGCTCTAGAGATGCCTGCCTAAGCTCTCATAGGAATCAACCCAATTCCACACTCACATAGGTGAACCCCTATAAGGTGTGAATTGCAGTTTTTCACACCACTATTTATGTTGACTATGGATTTCATTAAGAGTAATTTTACTCAACCTTATTCACTGCAATCAGTATTATCTCGCCATAGGGAGGACTTTCTATAGATAAAATTCGATAATACTTATCAAGACAACAAGTGACTTGTTATTACCCTTATGCACCTACTTCCTGGGATCTCCAATCACATAGGTAGGGTTGCCTTATGCTTTAGCCATAAGTCTCATCCCCCTCGATGTGATTCCACTATCCTCCTACTTAGTGGTTTAGTTAGAGGATCGGCCAAATTTAACTCTGACTTCACAAAATTTTAAGCTGACTACCCTAGATTTTAGTAGTTGCTTTATATTGGTATGTCTTATTCAAATATGTTTGCTTTTCCCATTATAAATTTTGCTCTTTGCTCTCGCTATTGCGACCTGACAATCACAATGGATTGATGCTTAAACATGAGGGTGAGTTTCAATGGGAAGATCTGCTAAGAGATTCCTTAACCACTCAGCCTCAGAACATGCCTTTTCTAAGGTGATAAGCTCAAACTCCATGGTAGAGCGAGCTATGAAAGTTTGTTTGGAAGACTTCCATGACACAGCACCTCTACCAAGTGTAAAGATATAACCACTTATGGATTTTATTTCATCTAAATCTGATATCCAATTGGCATCAAAATATCCTTCTAATATAGGTGGTGTACTTCCAAACGTTAGCCCATAATCAATGATGCCCTTCAAATATCTAGCAACTCTGTCTAATGCTCTCCAGTGACTCTTATCAAGATTATGAGTATACCTACTCAATCTAGTGACAACATAAACAATATCAGGCCTCATACTATTCATTAAGTACATAAGGCTACCAATGATTTGGGCATATCTGTTTTGACTCACGTTGTGTTTTGTATTTTTTTTAAGTTGAGTATTTCCATCAAAAGGAGTTGAGACGGGTTTTCTGTCTGAATACCCAAATTTTCTTAAGAAATTTTCAACATATTGTTGTTATAATAACTTAAGACCATCATTTATCTTAATGATTTTAATTCCAAGAATAACATTCGCCTCTCCATATCTTTCATATCAAAATTTGAGGCAAGAAACTCTTTAGTCTTAATTATTGCATCCATATTAACACTAAATATTAACATGTCATCAACATAGAGACATATTATCACATAAGTATTGCCTTCAAATGATTTAGAATATACGCATTTATCTGAACCATTAACTGTATAACCGTTTGAGACTAACACTTGGTCAAACTTCTCATGCCATTGTTTTGGTGCCTGTTTAAGTCTATAAAGAGACTTTACCAGTTTGCACACTTTATGCTCATTACTTGGGATAACACAACCCTCTGGTTGTTTCATATAAATTTCTTCATCCAGGTCTCCATTAAGAAAACTTGTCTTTACATCCATTTGAAGTATATGTAATTTGTAAATTGCAGCTAAAGCAATTAACACTCTAATTGATGCTATTCTTGTTACAGGAGCATAAGTGTCAAAATAATCTATATCTTTCTTCTATGTATAACCTTTGGCAACCAATCTTGCCTCGTATTTATCAATTGATCCATCAGTCTTTAATTTCTTTTTAAATATCCATTTGCACCCTATTGGTTTAGTTGTTGGAGACAAATTAACTACTTTCCATGTATGATTACTCATAATGGACTCAATTTCATTATTTACTACCTCTTTCCAAAGGAATGCATCACGAGAAGTCATTGCTTCTTCATAAGTCTGAGGATCATTCTCTGTAAGAAAGACATAGTAATAATCACCAAAACTTTTGGCTTTTCTTACTCTCTTATTTCTCCTTATTTCTAACTTTGAACTTTTAGAGAATTCTGAAGAGTTTCATTTTGAGGAGAACTCTCAAAAGTTTCATTTTAAGGTAAAGCCTTTTCACAATTGATTTTCTTAGGAAAAACATTCTCAAAGAAATCTGCGTTTTTAGATTCAGTGATTGTGTTTGCATCATACAAACTAACCCCTCGCTTTATTACCATGAATCTATAAGTAGCACTGTTATAAGCATAACCTATAAACATACAATCAATATTCTTGGGTCCTTACCTTTTCCTTTTAGATTCAGGAATTAGGACTTTGGCAAAACACCCCCACACTTTAAAATATTTCAAGTTAGGTACATGACATTTCCAGAGTTCATATGGTGTTTTGCCTGTTTTCTTAAAAGGAATTCTATTTTGTATGTAACAAGCTGAAAACATTGCTTCCCACCACAAATTAAAAGGTGCTCCAAAACTAATCAACATAGCATTCACCATTTCTTTTAAAGTTCTGTTTTTCCTCTCAACAACTCCATTAGACTATGGAGAATAATGAGTTGTAGTCTCATGTATAAGACCATGATCTCTACAAAAAGAATCAAAGTCATTTGACTCATATTCACCTCCTCTATCCGTTCTTAACCTTTTAGTTTTCTTATTGAGTTGATTTTCAACTTCATTTTTATAAGTTAAGAATATTTTAATTGCTTCATCTTTACTTCTCAATAATTATACTCTAGTATATCTAGAGTAATCATCAATAAAATTTATATAAAACTTTTTTCTCCTCTGGTCATGGT